TTTATCTTTTTGATTGCTGAGTAATATTCCATTGTGTATATGTACCACATCTTTTTAATCCAGTCATCTACTTTTGGGCATCTGGGTTAATTCCATGTCTTTCCTATTGTAAATAAAGCAGCAGTAAACATGGGGGTGCAGGTGTCTTTTTGAATCAGTATTTTTGTGTCTTTTGGGTAGATACTTAGGAGTGGGATTACTGGGTCATAGGAAAGCTCCATGTTAAGCAGTTTGAGGAACCGCCAAACAGTTTTCCATAGTGGTTGTACTAGTTTGCATTCCCACCAGCAGTGCAGGAGAGTTATGGACATATTCTTACATAAGTACAGTGTCCTATCATCCCACGCACAGTCCATTTCAAAATTTCCCTGTCATCTTCCACACTTTTTGAACCATGACCAAAACTAGAACTGCTTATTTGGTTACTGTATGTGTAAGTGTCTTTAGTCCGGAACATTCCCTTTCCCTTTCTCATGGAAGAATGACCTGCCTTTTGGTTCCATTCCAGTGTGATTTAGTGTATACCTTCTTCCACCCCCTGCCCCGGGATGAAAAGGCTGCAGGCACCAGCCCAGCACCCAAGTCCTCAGGTACAATGCCTTCTCGGATTTCCCTGCCTCCCTTTCCCTCCCAGCTGTTGCTCCGAGCCATTCCAAGGGTAACTTCCCCTATCTCTGCTAACTCGCTTTACTGGTGGGAGAGCCTGGCACCCACTCAGCCTGTGGGCTCCATGGCCCTCCAGAAACTCCATACTCAGCTGGTGGCTACATGCGCCAGTTGGACAGACCCAAGTCCAAACCACATTCACAGACACCACTTTGCACACTTTGTGGCGTGTCGGGAACAGACTCTGAGATACTGGGGGGGTGGGAGGGGGTGTCAGGGGACGCAGAGCAAGACAGAAACTGCCTGGCCAGACAGGACATGGCTGGCCTCACAACCTTTCTTGGTTTCCTTTGTCCCCACAGATGGCACCTGGGCCCGGCCTGTAGGGAAGGTGGGAGGGGAGGTGAAGCTGTCCATCTCCTACAAAAACAACAAGCTCTTCATCATGGTGATGCACATTCGGGGCTTGGTAAGTGTGTGCACAGTCGCCCTTGGCCCTTCGCCTTCCTCTGGCTCTGCCATCGGCCAGGCCTCTGCTCCCTGCTCATGATGCCCATGCCGGCTCTCCACAGGGGGGCAATGCCATGTACCTGGGCAGCCAAGCACCTCCACATACTTCTTCCCACCCATGGTCTGTGGCTTTGGCATGTCACCTTCATTAACATGAGGGGGGTGGCACCTGCCCTAGAGGGTCATGTGGGTGGGGTTAGGTGGCATAGTGCACATTGAACACTTAACGTAAGCGCTGGCATTTTTTGTTACATATAAGAGCTGGAGTGTAGGCCAGAGATGGCTTTGTATGTGCGAGGATTCACCAGAGACAGAATAGGGAACAGAACAGTAGAGACACTTCTGAGAGGAGCAGCCGGTGAGACAGGAGAGGTCTGCTGTGCCCTGTGGGTCAGCTCCCTGGTGGGGGATGGAACTCAGGCCATGGGGGTGACAGCACTGAGACTTAACCCCTAGGCCACCAGGGAGGCCCAATCCCTGATATCTTTTACTATGGTAATGGTGGTAATTATCATAAAGAGAGGCCCAAGGGGCTTATTACCTTAGAAAGATAAGGCAGCCACTGACACCCTTTGAAGCATAGTTGGACTAGTGTGTAATTACTAGAATTTTCATTTGGTTCTAAGAATAAAATGAGTGGCAGGGAACTTTCATTTAATACCTGCCAAGTGCTGACATCATAGATCGGGGCAAGGGTTGTTGGCAGGACAGAGCATGAGCTTTGGGACCAGAGAGACTGAGGTCTCCCTCTCGGCATCACTCATGCATTCATTCAGCATGTGTTCATCAAGTGCATACTATGTGCCAGACACAGATTCATTCTCTCTGGGTACAAGGAAAAACAAATCAGAATCCCTCTCCTCAGGGAATTTGCACACAGAGAACTATAAGTTAAGTGGGAAGTCGGGTAGCAGTAATATTCTACTGAGAACCAGTGCTGGTGGGGCTGGGATATGTGGCCATGGTGGTGGCTCAGGTCTGGGGAGCCCTGATGGTCGAAGAGGTATTTAAGCAGAGGTAGGAGGTGAGGGAGGGAGCCGCTTAGGTCCATCTGAAAGGGGATTGTTCCAAGTGAGGGAGTCCTAAATCAGGAGCCAGCCTGGGGTGTGTCGGGAACTGCAAAGGGCCAGTAGGGAAAGCTTGCAGGAACCAAGGGGAGAGCAGTGGGTGATGAGTTTGGGAGGGCAGAGTGGCACCCCGTTAGGGCTGAGTGACAAGGAGAAGTTGGGGGGGCTTTGAGCCAGAGGCATGACTTACATTTTAAAAGGATCTGGCTGGGTGAATCACTAATTGACTGACCTTGAACAAGCCAACTTAATCTCTCTGAGTCATTTCTCACCTCTGGGCTTACTTGGCTTAAATGACAAAACAGACAAAGACTTGGGTGACTGCAGGGAGATGCCTGGGAACATGATGATTCAGACCTGTCATTCCTGCCAGCGTTCAGACTCAATATAATTGGCGACCCAGTGTTTAAGCGGGATGCCTGATGTTGTGGTGGACACTTCTGTCAGGCCAGTCAGTTAGGTGTGCATGACGGAAACCAGGTGGGCGTGATGAACATCTCGTCAGGGTGTGATTGCAAGAATGGCAAGAAACAGACACATAGAACCTTCATCTTTTGGGGGGGTTTCATTCCCTTTGTAGCAACTGCTCCAGGACGGGAATGATCCTGACCCTTATGTGAAGATTTACCTCCTTCCAGACCCGCAGAAAACCACTAAGAAGAAAACCAAAGTGGCCCGGAAAACCTGCAACCCCACCTACAATGAGATGGTGGGTGGCAGGGTGCTGGGTGGGTGGGGTTGGCCTGTTGCCGGAAGTCTTCATGGCACGTGCCTGTACCTCCTCACTTGGGTATCATGTGCCTGTACCTCCTCACTTGGGTATCATGTGCCTGTACATCCTCACTTGGGTATTGCTATGGCTGCTGCTTGCTCCAGCAGCAGTGACATAAACCACAGGGTCTCCCAGGCCTACCATAGTCACGGTCTGGCCTTTGTATGAAGAGCTTGCCAGCCCTCAGGATGGGGATCCTTGGCTGAGGGGGGGCCTGGGCAGGGAGGGCCCGCTGATCCTGTGCAGATCACAGACAGTGTCCCCAATTAAAAGCTGTGTCCTGCTTGAATTCGGAGTGAAGAGCAGCGTTCTTTAAAGGCTCTCTGGGTTCCCTTAGACTCTGTTAAGTTGGGCAGATAAAGTGGACTTGGCCTCAGCCAGACCAAGCCCGTCTTAAGCGTGGCCTCCTCGCTACGCACCCCCGGGAGGCTTTGAGCTCCCTTCTCACCGCCTGCCTCCTCTCCTCCCCATGTCTGCCGGCAGCTGGTGTACGACGGGATCCCCAAGGGAGACCTGGAGCAGCGGGAGCTACAGCTGAGCGTGCTGAGCGAGCAAGGATTCTGGGAGAACATTCTCCTTGGGGAGGTTCACATCCGCCTGCGGGAACTGGACCTGGCCCAGGAGAAGACGGGCTGGTTTGAGCTGGGGTCCCGAAGTCATGAGGCCCTGTGAACCCCATGGAGCCCCAGCCAGAGGCCCTAGGTGGGGGGACGCCGGGGGACCCGCTGTCCCCTGCTTGACTCATCCTTTCTTTGTGAAGGGGCAGGGCCCTTGGCCATCCTCCCACTGTCCGCCTGATGGGTCAGCCTCCGTGATAGAGCAGGGGAGTGGAGCGGCTCCCACTGTCCCCCCTCTGCAGACTGCATTTGGGTTGATTGTGCTGAGCGGCCCTTGGAGGCTGTGAGGTCGCAGCAAAGTTTTAAGTTTACCTTGTGTCAAGGGAGCAATACCTGGTTTGGGGTGTGTGGGATGGGCCGTATGAAGGAACATTGGGGGGCTTGGGCGGGGAGGGTGGACAGCTTTATTTTTATTTTTAAAAAATGAAATAGTAATGTTGTCCTAACTGGACAGGAAGCCTCGTGAGAAGGGACTTACATATGCCTCAGAAGGCAAAAGAGGAAGACTATTTGGACTTTTTTGTATGATGAAGGTTCTTATTGGACTTTTCCCCAGGGGTGTGCGTGTGTGTGTTTTTTGGTCTTTGTTTTTCTATCTATAGGAATTATTTGGGGAGGGGCCCGGTGGGCCCTCGGAGCCCTCCCTCTCTGAGGGCGGTAGGGAGGGGCAGGGAGGACCTGGTGCTGGACCGAGGCCTGGGCCACAGGGCCTCTCAGATTTTGCCTCCAAAGGAGAGCGACGTGATACCTATGTGTGTAAGAAAGGGCCCCTTCCAGTGCGGTCTGCGAAGGACCCGTATTCAGGGACCCACGCTTTTCCTGGGGGGCGTGTTTCTTCTCTCTTCTGCTTTGCGAGGGCTCACCCTGAATACCCTCTTCTACCCTCTGTTCTCTCGGCCCTTCTGGGGTCACCTGGGCCCATATGCGGGGGATGCTCCCCCACTGGTTCTCTCTTCACTTTTTTCTGGTGGGGAAAAATGCTGCCTTGGCCCTTAGTGTACCTGTCACTAAGGGCTCTCGGCCCGGGGAAGAGGCCTGGGCTGCTGGCCCAGGATGCTCCCCCGCCCCCATGTCCAGCTTCCTTTTATGCTGCTTCTCTCCCAAACTCCGTGTCTGTCATACTTTCTCTAAGAATTTCTTTCAATTCATGGGGCCACAAACCTTTTTACTGTGGAGCCAAAGGGATACCCTAA